ACTCAGCACACATTAATTAACATCATAATTGTTCCACAAAACACTTCTATCAAGGTAAAATTTTCTGATGTAGAACTACAAAATTTATAGCATTTGATGCTGATTTATTATCTTAAGCACCTGTAAGGCTCTTGGGGTTAGGTCAATTATAGCAATATTTACACCACTGACATTATACTAACACACCAAGGCCCAAATAAAAGAAAAATAATCATCAGTCTATAAACCAAATTACCATCTAAGCTGACAACCTTTGTCTTTCCAAATAAATAAATAAATAACTGTATGGAGCCACAAAACATATTATAAAACCTATCAACTTTGCAGGTTTGTTAAAATGTCGTGTTTTGTTGCATTTGTCAGATCATAAAAGTAACTTATCACCAAATGTAACAAATTTGAATTGGGGGAGAAAAAAAGAGGCATCTGTTAGTATGTTTAGGCCTACTTAGGTACATAGATGTTACAAAGCTATCCAGGCCCACTTTGCTCAAATGCAAGTAGGACTCAAAGGATTCAAATTAAACACAGCCTATTTTAACAACAAATAAATTAAATACCACATTAAGTTATTTAAAAATCACTACAGGCCAGTTTGTATAAAGTCTTGCTGCAAAGCCTTCATGCAGTTTCAAAGCTGCAGATTCACACACACTGTATAACCCTAACAAAAAAACCTAAAAAAAAAAATGTACATTAGAATAAATACCTTTAAAACACATCAGTCTTAACTGATGGACTCTTTTGGAGTATATAGTTTCAGTGTTGTTTGTAATGTAAGGGTTTTTCCTGGCACTGAACTGGCTTTTTCGTGGTGATTACATCCAACGCTAAACACACCACAGTAGATTACACACAAAATCCTAGCAGTGTGTATGATTGAAAAAAAAACAAACATTGAGCTCTTGCTCTTGTTCACCTTCGTCAAAGAAAGGGTGCTCATCTTATGAGAGAAGGAAAATAGCAATATAAAAAATAAACAGTGCACAAACATCTGGATTCTGTCTGATATGATGGACATAATGGTCTAATGCTGATTTCATGCATACTTCATAAAATTCTCACCTATCATTACAGCTCTGCCTTTTGGGTCAACAGCAAGGAACTGTCCAGGAACAATACGGCGGCAGCCGCTCTTCCCAAATGTTTCCTGGTGGATCTTCTCAAACATATTTTTTGATGGATGATACTCCAGGATGACGATACGACCACTGTCACTCCCCACAACAATGTAATCTAAAAAAACATAAATACCACTTAGAAACGACACCAGCCTGTCAACATTATATTAATTATGATACTATCATGTAATTAAAGCTTAGGTAATGAAAGTCAATGGAGGCCAACTTCCCCTTCTAATTGTAAATGAATAAAAAAAAGAAGGCGCTACGAACAAAACATTAGTGTCAGACAAAAGATTTAATAAAAACCACTTAAGAGAAAATTATTAATACATACCATTTAATCTGTGCAATCCATGTTTAGAGTTACAAACACATGCATGTGAGTGCATATGGTGTCATTTCTGTACCTTTGGTTCCTCCAGTGAGTCTGAAGGCCATCAGGGATCTGATGATGCCAAACACTTCCATTGTGAGAAGAGTGTGCACCTTTCCTGTGTTGGCATCTGGCCGTAATAATTCCAGGATCTTTCCTCTGGAAACAACAATCTCCTGCATCTTGGTTCCTACCAAAACATAATATCAGACATATGACGTG